CCCCATACCCGCCCGCCCTGCGGGGCCGGCCACCTCTTCTCTTGCCCAGTTCTCGGCTGTCGCCCATCCCCCACGCGGCGCGGCCCTCACCGATCTCTGGAGCCCAACTGGCGCCCCCGACTACTGCCACCTTGCTGGACACGCTAACCTCTGCTTCCCAGGTCCTTGGAATCCCCCAAATCTGAGACTTGCTTCTGGTCATACACCTACCCTCGGATCGCTACGCTGCCTAGACCTCTCTTCTCCAGCCTTGCCCTCTTCCAGCAGCCCTTCCCCACCTACTCTTCGGACACCCTCAGCTCCCCTCTTTCCCGTGTCAATCCTGTCTGCTCAGGTTTTTCCATCCCTGCCATTCCACCCCTTTCCCTTGTCGTCTTATTTTGAGGGGTGGGTGGGGTAGGGAAGTGGGTGGTTGAACAAGGGTAGTGGGTTCCATCCGATAAAGAACAGTGAGAGGAAACCTAATCGTAGGCCCCTCCTGCTCCTGATCTGGTTTCCCTCCTCCTTGCCCTTCCCTCCTTGCCTGATTCGTTTTGCCCCAGCTTCAGGGAGCCAGTCCCCTTCACCACTGTTGGAGGGCAGGTGGGAGAGGACTGCTTTGGAGAGTTTGCCAGGCTGTGTCTAGGCCAGCATCCTAGAGAAGGGTCTCTGGAATGAAATGGGCCTTGGGAGATGCTGGTCTCCACCCTCCCATAGGGAGCCTTCATCTAGGTCACCGAGGCCTCCTGACCTTGGTCTAGAGGAGCACCTCAGTGGTTCACATTCCACCTTCAGTCCCTAGAAGAGAGGGTGGGGCAGGCTGCCCGGGTTCCCTCAATTCCTTGTTCCCCTCCCCAAGCTTCTCACCCCTGAAGAGGGACCTGGCTGGAACCTAGACTATTAGGAGATGGGGACTGGGATAGTCAGTTAGCAACTCATCCTTAGGGTCCTGGTCCCCCAGACCTTCCTGGGAGCTGACTGGGGTGATGGTCCAGACAGAACCAGGAGACTGACTCCTCTCGCCTCTCCATCCTGTTCTTTCCCTACTGTTGTCATACGACTTAGGTTTCCTGGTCTGGATTAGGTTTCTGTTTGGGCAGAATTCCCATTCCCCACCCAGCATGTGAGGAAGCCCAGGGCTCATGAGAATCCTGGGGCAGAGCTGGGTGGGGGTGTCTCTGAAAAGGAAGGGCTGAGGCGAGGAGACCAGAAGCTGGGAGCAGCACTCTGTCTCCCCTTTCTGATTAAAGCCTGCCTCCAATTTGGTCTTTCTTTCTACCAAACATATACATTTGTACAGATAAACACACAGCTAAAGATCACACAGCCTGACCGTCCACAGTGCAGAACTGTTGCTCTGCGTGAGATACACGCAGTGTGTGACACTCATCACACTCCACCCATGCGCAAACTGATCGAAGCCCGTCTAATGCTCATGCATGTAATGCGTGTATACACGACGCGCTCTTTGATTTTTCCCTGTATGTGACTGGGGCTTTCAAGAAGTTTGTGGAAGGTGAAGACAGCTGCTAAGAGGGTCTGCTTCTGGTCAAGAGTAGGCCAAGAGACTGAGAGTTGTCACACTGGGTATCTGAACTCAGTTATGGCTCCAGCATCCACTATTACCAAAATGGAACAGATACAGGTCAGCACTCATTTCACTAGGACCCTGAAGCCCCCTTCCTGATAGTAACTCCAAGCAGCCAGAGAGACTCCTGGGAGAGGCAGAGAGAAGATTCCTGTTCTCTCCCTCACATTGTCTCATGGAAAACCCTAAAACCCAGCACAGAGAGACTCAAGTGAATTGCTAAGGACCCCTGAGTCACCAGCAACTATGTCTTAATGCCCTCCCCTTGGAAAATCTGAGAGTTCCCAGCTATTCCTAATCTCTTCATCCCTGGCTGCATTCCAGTCCTCCCCCCATCCCCCACCCCCACCCCTGGCCATCAGGGTGAAGAGAGATGACTGCTCAGAGGCTCCTCCCTGTGCCTCTGGGCCCCTAGCTGTACTCCTTGACAGAAGAGGCCTCAGAGGCACTCCTGTCCTTCCCCCTCCACACACCTCATGTGCACTCTTGGCTGGAGACTGCCAATCTCTGCCCTGAAGTCCTGCTGATGCTATAGGGAGAAAGGGTTCAGAGGTCTTGGGCACACTCAGACCAGGCCGCTTCCTATTCTCCTCTTCCCTGTTCTCCACCAGTAGAACCACCAATTCTCTCCTGAGTTCTTGTATTCCTGTTAGAAGCTGCTGACTTAGAAATCCAGAGATCCACCAGGTGGTAGTGGTGCACACCTTTAATCCCAGCACTTGAGAGGCAGAGACAAGCGAATCTCTGTGGGTTGGAGGTCAGTCTGGTCTACAGAGCAAGTTCCAGGATAACCAGAGCTACTAAGAGAAACCCTGTCTTGAGAAACCAAGAAAGGAAAAAAGAAAGAAAAAAAGGAGGTGGGTGTTAGGGTGAAGTGGGGTCCAGAGACAGGAAACTGAAAACATCCATCTCCTGGGACCAAAAGCTGAACTTGGCAGACAGTTGTACCCAGAGTGAGGCTAAAAGGACTCAGGAACTCTACAACCTCTGATGCTTTGGGACTGCCTGTCAGTGGCTTTTGACAGTTGACCTCACTGAAGGAGACAGGCCAAGGTAACAGGTGAGCCTTCGTGATGGTATGGTGAACCACAGTAAGAGTCCAGGTCTAACTTCCAGGCCTGCTGTTAATTCATGGTGTGGCCTTGGACAGACCACTTCTACTTCCTGTGAAATGGGAGCCGTGTGGCCAGCGTGGCCTTGAGGTCCCTTCCAGGGCTGTGAAGATTGGTCTGGAAAGAACCGGAAAACTGAGGCTCAGAGCCTTAAGCATGTTGAGGCCTGAGGCTGAGGGCTCAGCTGGTGTGGGGAAGGGAAATTGTAGAGGAGTTAGCACTGGTCCCTAGTCACCCTGCCCAACCTCCACAGATGGACCCTGTCCAGAAGGCTGTGCTCTCACACACGTTTGGAGGACCCTTGCTCAAGACCAAGAGGCCAGTCATTTCCTGTAATGTCTGTCAAATCCGATTCAATTCTCAGGTAAGAAGGCCAGCTACTACCTTCTTCTAAGAAGGCGAGTAGGGCGGGGCAGCCATGGGAGCTTGAGAGAGGGCAGTGACTAAGGGAGCCTTGAGAAAAAGCAAAGAATGGGGACCTTGTGGTGGGGACACGAGTTAGTGGGAGACACTTAAGACAATAGGTCGCTATGTTTTGGTTGCTTTTTTTTTTTTTTAAGTTTATTTTTATTTTACGTGCACTGGTGTTTTACCTGCATGTGTGTCTGTGTGAGGGTATCAGATCCCTGGAACTGGAGTTACAGACAGTTGTGAGCTGCCATGTTGGTCCTTTAAAAAAGCAGTTAGTCCCCTCAACCACTGAGCAATCTCTCCAGCCCCCGTGGGGTGTGTGTGTGGTGATAGGGATTGAATTTAGGGCCTCACACATAATAGGCAAGTGCTATACCACTGAGCTGTATCCTCAACCCTTTTTTTTTTAAATACAAGGTTCCTTTGTGCATTCTTAGAACATGCTCTGTAGACCAGGCTGGCCTCAAACTCACAGAGATCTGCCTGTCTCTGCTTCCCAAATACTGGGATTAAAGGCGTGTGCCACCACCACCACCTGGCTGCTATTTTTTTCTTTTTTTTTTTTTTTTTTGAGACAGGGTCACTCTATATAGCCCTGATTGTCTCATTAGCATATGCCACCACTACACCCAGACCAGCTTCTGACTCCTTTTTATATTTTTTATTTCCAGACACAACTTTAGAAGTTGTTCAGGCTCGCTGGGTGGTGGTGCACACGCCTTTAATCCCAGCACTCAGGAGGCAGAGGCAAGCAGATCTTTGTGAGTTCGAGGCCAGCGTAGTCTACAAGAGCTAGTTCCAGGACAGGCTCCAAAGCTACAGAGAAACCCTGTCTCGAAAAACAAAAAAAAAAAAGGAAAAAGAAAAGAAAAAAAAGAAGTTGCCCAGGCTGGCCTCTAGCTTATTCTGGCCTTGAACTCTCAGTCCTCCATCTCAGCCTCATAAGTAGCTACGATTATAAACCTGTGCCACCTGCACACTGCCTGTGTTCTGGCAGAAAGTAGAAAGTAGAAAAATCCTCTCAGGCTGGCCGGCCCCTTTGTCCTTGGGGCTGGAGCATTCCCTGCTCAGAACGCCTGGAAACTCAAGAATCATGGAAGGTGTGTCACTCTAGCCATTCCATCCTTAGGTGCTGAGTTTGGTCTCTTTGGCTCTCCAGAGAGCCTAGGTTCTCTTCGGCATCTGCTGAACTGCCTTTCTCACTTCCCTCCAACCTCCCACATACCTTCTTTCTATCTTCCCTCCAGATCACACTGAAAGTCAGTCTCTACACCATCCTAGACTTTGCCCATGAGGAGAATTCGCCGAGATTTCCTCCCTCTAAAGTTTCATCTGGATTTCTATTTAGGTCCAGACTTTATAGGGTGCAAGCCCTAAGTTTTAGGAGAAAAACAGCAGAGCGTTATTCTGCTGAGTAGAGGAAAAGAAAACACTGTTTCTCTATGCGGCACGTGCACACACAATCACAGGCACCATACTGCTAGGCCCAATACACAAGGCTCTACTCCTGTCGATTTTGTTTTCCTGCTCATCCACACCTTTATTTCTACCCGTTTAGGTGACCTTTTTACCCCAAGGTTATACATTCTTAGCTGTGGCACAAATAGGAGAGGAGGGTATGGGCAGACAGTGGGTGGGCAGAGCCAGAACCAAACTAGGACTCTATTGCTTAGACCCCAGGCATCCTCTGTCCCAACCCTGACTCCATTTACTGGTGGAGGGAGTAAGATTGGAGTGATAGAAGCCAATAATGGGCAGCGCTCCCTTTTTGCTCCCCCATTTCCTCCCTCATAAAGTATCTCTGTTCTGACAACTGTCTCTGCTGCTGTCTCCTGTCTCCAGAGCTGGGCTTGAGTCCAGGCTCCTCCAAGGTGTCCACGGAGCTCCAGGGAAAATGAGGCCTAGGAGGAGTATCAGGACAGAGCTGTGAGAACAGCAGAGCAGGTCCAGAACTCAGGCTTCTAGGCCTGGTGTCTGAGATGCCAGCTAGCTGCATGTTCCCTTTCACCAATTCACCGTTCCCTTGCAGGCTGAGGATCTCCTCCCTCAGCCAGGTCCTGGGTGTAGAGGGCGAGGGTCTGTATTCCCAGGGACTCAAGCTTGAGAAGCTCCTCTGACCACAGCAATAATCAGATGTGTCAGTATGGGCTCTACACAGCAGGAGTGTAGGCAGAGCATACTGTAGCCTGCTGAGGCCACCTTGAGACCTGAAGGAGCTCTGTAGGATGTAGTAGATGAAAGGTGATCTCAGACTCCATGTTCTTCCTCCATCCTTGAAGAGCCAGGCTGAAGCACACTACAAGGGTAATCGCCATGCCCGAAGAGTCAAAGGCATCGAGGCTGCCAAGACCCGAGGCAGGGAGCCTAGTGTCCGGGAACCAGCAGGCCCAGCTCCAGCAGGCAGCACCCCCCCAAGTGGGGACGGTGTAGCCCCTCGTCCAGGTGTGTCTGAACCCCTCACACTTCTCAACTGATCTGTCTTTCTGCTCTTTCCCAATTCCCTCTCCTCCCACTGACACCCAAGGTGGGTCCTAGAGCCAGGCAAAGTGATGTCAGAATTCTATCCTGTCACCCCACCCACCTGGCCTCAGCTCTTTTCAACAGAGCCCCTGCTGTCTGTCTTCTCCACTGCCCAGTGGCTCAGCACGGGCCTAGGGTGAGGCTGCCTGGCAAGCATCCCCAGGAACAGGGAGTCACCCGTCTAATCCTGATGAAGCCACTCTGTGCCATCCAAAGGTAATAGGGACACCAGACAGCAGAGCCCACCTGGAGACTGAGGCCATGTGCTCCGAGGCTCCTTAAATGATTTTGGATGGATGTGTGGACTTCTTGGAGCCAAGTTAAGAAAGAAAAACTTGAAAATCTTTAAGGTCTTTTTCAACTTTACCAGAAGCAATTCCACATTTCTTTTCCCCTCATGGCTGGTGGTCATCCTCAACCATATTTCCAAGGAACTGGGACTGAGGAAATACAGGGACAGAAAGATATCAGCCACCCCCACCCTGGGATTACCACAGATATCAGTATGGCCAACTCCAGAAAGACCTAACATTCCCCTTGTCCTCATTTCCTCTATTCTGGCCTGTCCTTCTTGCCCCACCCTAAAAATAATGAGAAACAGGCCTCTATATCACCAGCTTGCAATCCAGGTCTCCACTGTAGCCACGCATATATGCGTGTGCACACATGCACATCACACACACACTCATACACACACACACACACCCTCTAACATTCAAAGATGTAGGGACCAGGCCTAATTTCTAATTGTACTCTGGCTGCTTCTGAGTCTGATCATCTTGGTTTAGCGTATTAACACTTTTATAAATAAGGATAAGGATGGATAGAGCTGGTGACAGTGACAGCTAGCACTTCCTTACACATCACCTCATTAAGTCCCTGCACACTTTCTGAGGACATGGGGAAGATATTATATGCATACTGCTTTCATAAACCATGACGTCCTGTCCAATTTGGGATAAGGATGTGCTGTCTGGTTTGGAATGAAGACAGAGGATGTCCTGAATGAGTAGGAGACACAAAGGATGGATCATAGGATGGACAAGCACACACCTACAGGGGTTAGGAATTCTTCCACCTTCTCTTACTCTCACCACAGCCTCCCCATGACCCGGAAAATGGATCACTGTTGGAGCAAGAGTGGGAGCGCTAGAGTTTCCCCCGAAGTGCAGAGGCCTGGGCCTGTGCATCTTTAATCAGCCATGAATTATAGAGCAGCCTGGATCCCTGCTTCTTCCTGCTTCGGGTCTTGTTTCTATTTCCCCCTGCTCTGCTTACATCTGTCTCTCCTGACTTTCCCTCCTCCTAGTTCTGCACCTTCCTATTGCTCCTTGGTGTTCTCCTTGAGTGTTGGAGAGGGGCTTGGGAAGGGGTTGTCCTGACAGGAAGCCTGTGCTGGCCAGCAGGCCATGGTGGGATGAGTCGTCAGTCTCTGCATTTCCCCCTGGCTGGGAAAACTTTAGGGTAACTAAAGGTAGCCTGGTTACTCCTTGGCTATCCTCAGCTTTAGGGGAGTAAGCCAGGCATTGCAATCACACACCCAGCCAATGGCAGCTGAATGGAATTTGGCTGTGACTCAGGGCATGAGGACATGCATGTTGTAACAGGGTGGGGACTGACTTCTGGGCCCTTACCCTTGAGGAAATGGGGGTGGATCTGCACATGAAGAGCCATTTGGGATGACCCCATGTTTCTTCCCCAACAGTTTCCATGGAGAATGGCCTGGGTCCAGCTCCAGGATCCCCAGAGAAACAGCCTGGCTCCCCATCCCCTCCCAGTGTTCCAGAGTCTGGACAGGGTGTAACCAAGGCTGAAGGGGGAACTCCAGCCCCAGCTTCCCTGCCTGGGGGTAGCAAGGAAGAAGAGGAGAAAGCTAAGCGTCTGCTCTACTGTGCACTGTGCAAGGTGGCTGTGAACTCCCTCTCCCAGCTGGAGGCACATAACAAAGGTATGGGTCTTCTGCTACCAGCCAGCCAGCCTGTCTCCTGTCCACAACCCACCCCACCCCACTCCGCACCCTACCTTCCCTGCCTTCTAGCAATCTGGGTCCTCTAAGACCTACCAGCCTGTCTCCTGTCCCAGCCATCTCCCTATTCCTTAGTCTCTTGCTTCCTCATTCACCTTCATCTTCTCTCAGACCCCCTTGTGCTTGGGAGGGGCCCAAAGGGCTCCAAATAAATCCCACACTTGCCTCATTCATTCACACATTCTAACTGGGAAGGTGGGCATTAGAGGCCTGGCAGACATCTGCCCTCATCTCCTGCCTCTGTGGACCAGGTACTAAGCACAAGACAATTTTGGAAGCCCGAAGTGGACTGGGGCCCATCAAAGCTTACCCTCGGCTGGGGCCTCCCACTCCTGGGGAACCAGAGGCTCCTTCCCAGGACCGAACCTTCCACTGTGAGATTTGCAACGTCAAGGTCAATTCGGAGGTCCAGCTGAAACAAGTGAGTCCTACACCCATCCCAGATGTCTGAGGAATTTGACCCACTGAAGGGAAGGGAGCTTGGGTAAGGGCCACTCAGAAGGAAATATGGCCTTAGCTGTGGCCCTGCCTGTGGGGGTTATTCTTGGCTAAAAGCTCATAGCTCCACTACCCACTGCATCGCAGCACATCTCCAGCAGGAGGCACCGAGACGGCGTGGCCGGGAAGCCCAACCCTCTACTGAGCCGTCACAAGAAGCCTAGGGGCGCTGCGGAGCTGGCGGTGAGGCCTGGATGCTGGGGAACTGGGGGACCCATGAGAGTTGGAAAGGGATCTGGGCAAGCCAGCAAAGGTTGGGCTTGCCGGACCACTGGCCCGACCTCTGTCTCCCTCTCTGCCTGCTGCAGGGCACGCTGACTTTCTCCAAGGAGCTGCCCAAGTCCCTGGCCGGTGGCCTGCTCCCCAGCCCCCTAGCGGTGGCTGCGGTGATGGCCGCTGCAGCAGGCTCCCCGCTGTCCCTGCGCCCAGCTCCAGCCGCACCTCTTCTGCAGGGACCACCGATCACACATCCTCTACTCCACCCGGCACCAGGACCCATTCGAACTGCGCACGGACCCATCCTCTTCTCCCCTTACTGACCTCAACCCTGAACCCCTCCCATTGAATCCCCCACCTCCAGCCGGGACCCAGGCCTTCGGGCTCCCAGCCCGCCCCTCCTCCTGGCGCTCCCTGAATGGTCTGTCCTTCCCCCCACCCCGAGGTACGGGGTTCCAGGAAAGGGGAGGGGTAGCGGGGGAGGGGGGCTTAAGAAGGGGGGAAACACCCCAGATCTCAGGGAACCCCGCCCCCTGTCCTTCTCTCTCCCCTAGAAAAGAGGGGGTCCGTCTCACCCCCGAGCCCCCTCGGAGACACCCCCTCCCAAAAGCCATGTTCATCCAACCCTTCCCCTCCAAACCTAGCACAAAACGGGGTTCACAAGCCATGGTCGGGCCCGGGGGGAGAAATGGATTTTCTTGGCAATAAGCGGACTCTGGGACTCCGGCCCCCCACCCCAAACTAAAGCGCTTCCGTGAACAAACCAGTCCTCCGCAGGGGGAAGGGAGCAGGCGGGATCCTGGGTCCCTCGTAAGCACTTTGGTTTTACCGCCTGCAACCTCACTGTGCCCGCCCCGCACCATGCCCCATCCCAGGTCCAGTCGGGCCCATAGCAGGGGCAGCAAGCACTTAGGGGCTTCTCAGGCACTTGGGTGGGACCAAGGAGATGCCCTCATAGACCCTTCCCCTCACCTTCTTACTCCCCAGTCCGGGTTCCATTCTTTTCACCAGCACCCATCGCCCAAGGGGTACCAAGGGGGGCAAGGGGTGTCGAGTCCAAGCCCACCCCCGCCTCGCCTTCCGCAAAACTGTGAGCAAAAAGCAATAGCCTCGCCCCCGCCTCGCCCCACCCCTTTCCGCAGGATTTGCCGTCTGTAGCCTCCCTGATCACAATCCCTAGACCTCATGGCTGCCACCTCCCGTGACACTTCTACTGCACAACTCGGGCGGGGGCGTGACCCCCAACCTGTCCCTTCTGTGGTTTCTGTGTGGTCAGCCCTTCCAGCGCCGACCTGGGATGGGGACCGGCCCCCACTGGCCCTCCCCTCCCTATGGACTCTTTCTGCTTGACAATGTAGCAACCCCGCGCCCACTCCACCTCCACCCTCCCCTTTTCCTTCTCCTTGAAAATAAAGTCTGGATTCGTTTTGCCCTCTGCGCCCAGGTCTCAGACTGTCCTTGTTTCGGGTGCAATTCGCTTGGAAGGTGTGTCTTAGGGTGAGAAAGTCCGACACCCTAGAAGAGGGACGGGAAAACGAGATTGGGAAGTGGTTGTGTAAAGCCAGTAGAGAGAGAGAGAGACTGGGAGTCTCAGTCCTAACCTAGTTAGTGTAAACTTGGCCAGAGGGAATCCTTTGAGTTCCACTCGGGGACTGCAGCTGAGGCTGTTGAGAATTCGCTACAACTCCACAGGGCGGCGCTAAGAACGCAGAAAAGGAGTCTTCCATTCCGTTAGTGTTTCTCGCAATTCTAGGGAGCGGGGTCTATACCCAGACTAAGGAAAGAACCCAGGCTTTTCTGACTATATTAGGAACCCACACCAACAAAACAGACAGAGGAAGCAGGGATGGGCCTCATATACTGACTCCGGATCTGTCTTTGTCCTGTATGAACCTGAATTTTCTACCAGCAAGCAGGATCCTTTGAGACCTCCTGTATCCAAGTCCACCGAGGCTGAGGCTATGCCATCTACAGATCTGCTACCATACTCCCTCATCAGGACGCAAGTGGCCTATGTCTTGGGGCACTTGGTGTCTTGGAAGGGTACCTCTTCAACCGCAGAATCCAGCCCAAACACTGTAACTGACACACTTCTCCATCTAGAGGGTGGGCTAGAAAACCAAAAGAAAATAAAAGCCAAACTCAAACCCAGAGTCTGCACTGGGCCCGGATTTCTCACTTCTCCCCCCACTTCCCAGTCTTGCAGAAGACAGGAGGGAGGGTAGGATGTGGTTGAAAGAGGAAGGAGACAGGAATAGGCCCCCTGGGTTTATCAACTGAAGTAGGGCCCCAGTACAGCAAATAGGTTTTTCTACTTTGCAGCTTAAAAAAGGCAGAAGAGACCAGGGCTACAGAAATGTCTCAGTGGTTAAGAGCACTTTCAGAGACTCTGTGTTCAATTTCCAGCACCCACATGGCAATTAAGTACCTGAATTACTTCGTGGTGCCATGGCTTCCCAGGGCACGACGCATGCACATAGTGCACAGACATACATGCAGACAAACACCCGAACACATAAATAAATCAATTCTATTAGAGACAGAGATGAAAGGCTGTGAAGGATGAGGGCGAAGGTGGCCCTTTAGAGGAAGGAGGTACTCAGTAAGGGAACCCGTTACAACTCTAAGGACTTTAGTTCTTGATCCCTAGGACCCGGCCCCCTCAAGTGATCCATCTACACTGTGCCATGCACATTCCTCACTCTCCTGCCATACACACACAGAATAAATAGATTTTTAAAAAGAAAAAAATTAAATGGGTGGAAAACAATAGCTGGGCCCGGTGTGAGGAGGCTGGCAGGGAGAGGTCAGAAGGGATGAGCTGGAGAGGCTAGGAAACTGATATGCTCCAAACTTGATGTTTCAAAACAGAATCTGTCATCCACCCCTGTCCCTAAGCTTGGTCCTCCTTCCGTGCTCCTTATCTTTCCTTTTGGTGCCGGGAACTGAACCCTAGGTGTTCTGCCATTGAGCCACACCCTAGATCTTCTGTCTCATTGATCAACAGCCCCACCAAACCAACACAAAACATTTGTTTGTTTTTGAAACAAAGTCTCTGTTCCCTTCCTGACCTCAAAATGCCAGGAAGCCTACTGCTTCTAACTCGTTAGAGCTGGGATTGCAAGCAGGAATCAACAACTTGGTTTTACTTAAGCATCTATGGTTTTATTTTGTTTTGGTATGGCTTTATGAGACAGGGTTTCTCTATGTAGCCCTGGCTGTCCTGAAACTCATTACATAGACCAGGCTAACTTTGAACTCAGAGACCCACCTACCTCTTCCAAGTGTTGTGCATTGATTAATTAATTTTTAAAATCTTTTTGTTTGTTTTTCTCAAGACAGCATTTCTCTGTGTAACAGTCCTGGCTGGCCTGGAACTCACTGAGATCCATCTGCTTCTGCCTCCCAAATGCTGGGATTAAAGAAGTGTGCCACCACCATCTGGCTTAATTTATTTATTTTCAGACAGTCTCTTGTAGCCTGGGTTAGCCTCAGAATTACTTTGTAGTTGAGGATGACCTTGAATTTCTGATCTTTCCACTTCCTGAGTGCTGGGATTACAGGTATGTATGTACCAGCATACTTGGATTAAACAGTTCTGGGACTTGAACCCGGGACCTTGTACATTCTGGGCAAATACTGTACTTATATCCTCAGCCAAATTTAATTAATTGATTAGTTTATGTTTTTGTGGTGGTGGTGGTGGTGGTGGTGAGGTGTTTGTTTGTTTGTTTGTTTGTTTGTTTGAGCAGGGTTTCTTTATGCAACATCTCTGGCTGACCCGGAACACAGTTTGTAGATCAGGCTGGGCTCACACTCACTGAGATCTATTTGCCTATGCCTCCCAAGTGCTGGGATTAAAGATTTGCACCACCACCAACCGGTAAAATTTACTTTTTTTTTTTTTAAGTGCCAAGGAAGCTAGGTGGTGGTGGCGTGTGCCTTTAATCCCAGCACTCAGGAGGCAGAGGCAGGCGGATCTCTGAGTTTGAGGCCAACCTGGTCTACAAGAGCTAGTTCCAGGACAGGCTCCAAAGCTACAGAGAAACCCTGTCTCAAAAAATTTTCAAAAAAGGAAACTTACTTTATTTTTTAAAAGATTTACTTATTATGTATACAATATTCTACCTGCCTGCCAGAAAGAACACCAGATCTCATTATAGATCATTGTGAGTCACCATGTGCTTGCTGAAGATTGAACTCAGAACCTCTGGAAGGGCAGCCAGCGCTCTTAACCACTGCGCCTTCTCTCCAGCCCTCTAAATGTACTTTTTATTTGGAGATAAATTCTCATTCACTAAAATTCCCGAGACTGGCCTAGAACTCACTGTGTAACTCTGGCATGTCTTGAGATCCTCTGGAGAAACAGTGATTGTTAGCCTGCACCATCAGCTCCTGCTCCCACCTTTAATTCCAGCACTTGGGAGGCAGAGGCAAGTGAATATCTGTGAGTTCCAGGCCAGCCTGATCTATATAGTGAGCTCCAGGTAAGCCAAGGCTACATAATTTATTTATGTGTGTGTTTGTAGATATACATATCCCATATAACTTGTATGGAAGTTGAAGAATGATTTGCAGGAGTTGATTCTCTATTTCTATCATGTAGAATCACGGAATACAACTCAGGCCATGGCAAGGTTTTACAGGCTGATCCACCTCTCCAGTCCTAAACCCATATCTTTTTATCTGACTCACTTCTCAGATGTGCTGAAGTGACTTTTGGAACCCTCTGATGTAAACCATATGGTCTATGTAAAACATATGGTCTCCAGACCATGAAGAGAAGAAATGACGTGCTATTGCAAACAAACCTAAGCTCTCTGTTTTTTTTTTAAATATTTATTTATTTATTTATTTATTTATTTATTATGTATACAATATTCTGTCTGTGTGTATACCTGCAGGTCAGAAGAGGGCACCGGACCCCATTACAGATGGTTGTGAGCCACCACGTGGTTGCTGGGAATTGAACTCAGGACCTTTGGAAGAGCAGGCAATGCTCTTAACCTCTGAACCATCTCTGCAGCCCCAGCTCTCTGGGTTTTAAACTCAATGTTTCTATCATTGATTCTAGAACATGCTCTTGGCTTCTGACCTCTTGAGAAGTGGCCCAGTCAGGTGTGCTAGCTCATGCCTATACTACTCACAGTGATCAAGTGGCTGAGGTAGGGGAATTTCTCTGAGTTCTAGAGCAGACTGAGATAATGAGTCAGACCCTGTCTCAAACAAACAAAAACAGAAGTGGTCTGGAGGATCTGACATTGTCTCCCTGTTCAACAGTTCTCAGCAATGACTTTACAGAGGTCCTGCCTCACAGAGCGGAAGGAAACATCCTTTGGGTTTCCGGAAGCATAAAGGGAAGGATGAAACAACTCTGGGGTAAGTTGCAGGGGATTTCAACAGAGAAGCTCGGACTTTAGTAGCCAAGAGAAAATTAGTAGGACTGGCTGGAGGTGGGGGAGGAAGTGGCTAAGGTTGGGTAACTAGGGAGTTTCTTATTCTTTCGGTCTAACATGGTAGAAGCATTATATGTCCAGTTGGAAACCTGGTTACTTCCCAGAAAGACTGGAAGTTTGACTGCCCCAAGGAAGGCCTGCACTTTAAGTGAGCTGGACTTTGTTTACTGAAGATAAGTGTGAACACTAGGAACCTCAGGTGAGCATGTCGTGTGTGTGTGTGTGTGTGTGTGTGTGTGTGTGTGTGTGTGTACAGTCTTACTTACTTACTTAGTCCTCTCATTTTCCAGGTAATTACAGAACATTTGAGGTCAGGAGAACACTGGTACAGACCTGAGACCAGAGAACCACTGTGAGTTCAGGCAGTCTGAGCTATATAACAATACAATCAAGAAACAAAAGGAAAGAAAGATCAATGCTCACTTGTGCAGAAGGAGGAGCAGAGGACAAGGGACTCCTGATTGTTCTTCAGGAAGGGAGAAGGAATTATGGGCAGAGGATGCCAGGTTTATGAGGAGCAGTCCACGCATTCTGAAGGGGTCTGGGGTTGGGAGAAATAGAGAATTAACATGTTTCCAGAAGAGACATTTGATAGGAATTTAGGAAAGAAGTCTAAGAATGTGAAAGAAAGGTCAGAGAGAGCCTAAGGAGAGAGCTGGGAACTTTGAGATGAGGTGGTGTGAGAAAGGCTTTCCAGAACCATGAATTCAAGTGAATTTTAGGAGCAGAACAGGTGTGAGGGGACAAAGCTGTTCATTCGAGGCAAGACAAACACCAAATTCTCATTCCATCTCGCTCTCATCTCCCTTCAGTCTCCATCATGTGGAACACCTCGGATACCAACTTCTCCTGTTACCACGAGTCCGTGGTGGGCTGTCGTTACTTTGCCGTTATATGGGGCGTGGTAGTGACTGTCACAGGCACCGTGGGCAATGTGCTCACCCTGCTGGCATTGGCCATTCGTCCTAAGCTCCGAACCCGCTTCAACCTACTCATTGCCAACCTCACCCTGGCTGATCTACTCTACTGCACACTCCTGCAGCCTTTCTCCGTTGACACATACCTCCACCTCCATTGGCGCACTGGAGCCAGCTTCTGCAGAATATTCGGGCTCCTCCTCTTTACTTCCAATTCTGTCTCCATTCTCACCCTCTGTCTCATTGCTCTAGGACGCTACCTCCTTATCGCCCACCCTAAGCTCTTTCCCCAAGTTTTCAGCGCCAAGGGTATCGTGCTGGCGTTGGTGGGCAGCTGGATTGTGGGGGCGGCAAGCTTTGCCCCACTCTGGCATGTGTTTGTCCTGGTGCCAGTGGTCTGCACCTGCAGCTTTGACCGCGTGCGCGGCCGGCCTTACACCACCATCCTCATGGGCATCTTCTTTGTGCTTGGGCTCAGCAGTGTGGGCGTCTTCTACTGCCTCATCCACCGCCAAGTGAAGCGTGCTGCTCGAGCGCTAGACCAATACAGGCTGCAGCGGGCCAGCATCCGCTCTCCCCAGGTGGCTGGGACAGATGAGGCCATGCCTGGCCACTTCCAGGAGCTAGACAGCGGGCTTGCCTCAAAAGGGCCCAGTGAGGGGATTTCATCTGAGTCAGTCAGTGCTTCGACCACGCAGACCTTGGAAGGTGACCCGTCAGAAGCAGGGGACCAGGGCACCAGAAAGGTAACCCAGCATATTGTAGAGAGAGGCCTTCCTGAAGCACATCATAGGGTCCGGGAGACTGCAGGAGAGCGCAGAGCCCCGGATGCCCCGTCGGAATTCGGAAAGGTGACGCGCATGTGCTTCGCGGTGTTCCTCTGCTTCGTTCTCAGCTACATCCCCTTCTTGCTGCTCAACAGTTTGGACGCCAGGGGCCGCGCTCCCCGGTTACTGCACATGGTGGCTGCCAACCTCACCTGGCTAAACAGCTGCATCAACCCCGTACTCTACGCAGCCATGAACCGCCAATTCCGCCATGCATATGGCTTCATCCTGAAACGAGGGCCACAGAGTTTCCGTAGGTTCCGTTAGAGCTGGTAGTTCATTCATCAGGCCAGCCCAGCATCAAGAGTGGCCCGCAGGATAGGAGCCCTTCGATCCTTGGATATTTTCACAGACAACCTTATTGGTGTTTGGACACACCCCTTTCCATCCAGGAATCAATGTGTCAGTCCTGCGTTACCCAAGGTCAATTATTAATAAATGCATCACACTTCCTCACTCTGCATATGTTTGTGTGTGCATGCGTGTGTGCCTGTGGTGTCCTTCCTGGTCTCTTTCCACTTTTTTTTTTTCAAGACAAAGTTTCTCTGTAGCTTTGGAGCCTGTCCTGAAACTAGCTCTGTAGACCAGGGTGACCTTGAACTCACAGAGACCTGAGTGCTGAGATTAAAGGCAGGCATGAGCCACCACCCACCACCGCCTGGCTTAGTTTTTTTTTTTTTAATTGATGGTTATTGAGCTCTACATTTTTCTCTGCTCTCCTCCCTGCCTCTCCCCTCCCTCTTCAACCCTCCCCCAAGGTCCCCATGCTCCCAATTTACTCAGGAGATCTTGTCTTTTTATACTTTCTACTTCCCATGTAGATTAGATCTATGTAAGTCTCTCTTAGTGTCCTCATTGTTTTTTTTAAATATTTGTTTATTATGTATACATAATTCTGTCCGTGTGTAGAAGAGGGCACTCTTCTCTCATTATAGATGGTTATGAGCCACCATGTGGTTGCTGGGAATTGAACTCAGGACCTTTGGAAGAGCAGGCAATGCTCTTAACCACTGAGCCATCTCTCCAGCCCCCTAGTGTCCTCATTGTTGTCTAAGTTCTTTGGGATTGTGGTTTGTAGGCTGACTTTCTTTGCTTTATGTTTAAAAACCACCTATAAGTGAGTACATGTCTTTCTGTGTCTGGATTACCTAACTCAAAATAATGTTTTCTAGCTCCATCCATTTTACTGCAAAATTCAAGATGTCATTATTTTTCTTCTGCTGTGTAGTACTCCATTGTGTAAATATACCACATTTTCCTTATCCATTCTTTGGTCAAGGGGCATTTAGGTTGTTTCCAGGTTCTGGCTATGATGAACAAAGCTGCTATGAACATAGTTGAGCACATGCCCTTGTGGTACAATTGAACATCCTTTGGATATATACCCAAAAGTGGTATTACTGGGTCTTGAGGAAGGTTGTTTCCTAATTCTGAGAAATCGCCACATTGACATCCAAAGGGGCAATGCAGGAGTGTTCCCTTTTTCCCACAACCTCTCCAGCATAAGTTATCATCAGTGTTTTTGATCTTGGTCATTCTTACAGGTATAAGATGGAATCTCAGAGTTGTTTTGATTTACATTTCTCTGATGACTAAGGATGTTGAACATTTCCTTAAGTGTCTTTCATCCATTTTGGATTCCTTTGTTGAGAGTTCTCTGTTTAGGTCTGTACTCCATTTTTTAAAATTGGATTATTTGTTCTTTTGATGACCAATTTCTTGAGGGTTTTTTTTTTTTTTTGTATATTTTGGAGATCAGACCTCTGTCTGATGTGGAGTTAATGAAGATCTTTTCCCATTCTGTAGGCTGTCGTTTTGTCTGTTGACCATGTCCTTTGCTTTACAGAAGCTTTTCAGTTTCAGGAGGTCCCATTTATTAATTGTTTCTCTCAGTGTCTGTGCTGCTGGGGCTCTATTAAGGAAGTGGTTCCCTGTGCCAATGCGTTCAAGTGTACTTCCCACTTTCTCTTCTATAAGGTTCAGTGTGGCTGACTTTATGTTGAGGTCTTTGATCCATTTGGACTTGAGTTTTGTGCATGGTGATAGATATGGATCTATTTTCATTCTTCTACATGTTGATATCCAGTTATGCCAGCACCACTTGTTAAATATGCTTTCTTTTTTCTATTTGATATTTTTTTTGCTTCTTTGTCAAAAATCAGGTGTTTGAAGATGTATGGATTGATATCTGGGTCTTCTGTTCAGTTCCATTGGTCCTCCTGTCTGTTCTTATGCCAATACCGGGCTGTTTTCAGTACTGTAGCTCTGTAGTAGAGTTTAAAGTCAGGGATTGTGATGCCTCCAGAAGTTCTTTTATTGTACAGGATTGTTTTGGCTATCCTGGGTTTTTTGCTTTTCAATATGAAGTTGAGTTCTGTTCTTTCGAGGTCTTTGAAGAATTTTTCTGGGATTTTGATGGGCATTGTGTTGAATCTGTGCTTGGCTTAGTTTTTACAACAGTGTTTCTCACTGAACCTGCAGCTCAGAAATTTGGCTAGATTGGTGAGCCAGCAAGCTTCAAGTACCCTCCTGACATGGCCTCCCCGAAGCTGGGATTACAGACATGCATATCCATACCCAACTTTTACAAGTGTGCTAGAGATCCAAACAGAGGTCCCATGTTTGTATAGTAAGTCCTTCACTGCCCAGCCCACCTCTCTAGCTGTGTATTACATGCTTTTTACACCCAGGAATGTTTATGTGGGAAAAAAAAAGATCTAAGTCGGGATCAGAACTGAAACCTAGTAGTTAAGGCTTTGGGGTGACCTGTGTTAGAGCAATGTAGAAAGCAGCTATCCAGGTATAGACACAGTCTGTGACTGACAGGGTTCCAGGTTGCGGGACATGTATGGTACTTGGAGAGATTTAGCTTTCTTTCCCTTTTCCCCCCTTTAAGCAGTCTTGCTAAGTAACCCAAGTTGCCCTCAAACTCAAGACAGCCCTGCATTAAACACAGCATGATTATAGGTGTGTATCTCTTTCCTTAATAAAACTGCCCTTACCACTCATCACTGCAGCCAGGATACCCACCCAGGCCAGGAAGTTTATTCAACACTACAGGTTATATCCCTGCAACGAATCCTGTTCATTGTGTTCCAAGCAAGGAAACAGTCAAGGTGGAGACTGTGCTCTTGGAAAATGGAACCGAGCTTAGTGGGTGGCAGCTGTACATGGGAGACTCTCTTTCTCTGATCTCCCTGAAGAAAGTCCCGCAGAAACAGCTGGAGGGCACATCCCTGTCTTCCCAAAGCAGCTTCCATTCTGTAACAACCGCCTGGAAACATAATGTCCACCAGATGGCGCTGGATCTCTGTGCTTCCTTTCTGACTTCCGGTTGAGTATTGAAAGTGCAAGCAAGATCACTGACAAAGGGTGGAGGAACAGGATTTGCATCTACACACACACACACACACACACACACACACACACACCCCACCACCACCACCAAACTTGGCAAGGGAAATGAAGAATGAGAAATTTTTTGGTTTTTGTTTTGTTTTGATTTTGTTTTGTTTTGTTTTTTTTTAAAGACAGGGTTTTTCTGGCTGTCCTGCAACTCACAGGCTGACTTCAAACTCACAGAGATCCACCTAATTCTGCCTCCAAAGTGCTGGGATTAAATGTGTGTGCCAATACTGCCCAGCTCGTTTTTTGGTTTTTTTTTTTTTTTTTTTTTTTGCTTTTTGATAAAGAGTCTCACCATGTAACCATCTCATGATCCTCCAGCCTCAACGTTTTAGAGGGCTAACTATTAAAGGCATGTAATCCTTGCTGAGATCATTATTTTTCGTTTCTTTCTTTTGAAACATGGTGTCACTATGTAGCTGAGGCTGGCCTTGAATACCTGATCCTCCTGCCTCAGACCCTGGAAGGTGGGAATTTCATGTGTCAGTCACTATGCTCAACTCCTAGAGCCTTCATCCTCCTCTAAGGTGGGACAGGGTACGGTACTGGGTGAGCACCGGTAGAGTGCTGGAGATGGAATGTGGGTTGGGTTGACAAGATGACCCTACATGTGACCCTTTTCTATCCCTAAATGCCTGTTTTGAGACAAGAAAAATTTTAAGTATTGAAATAAGAATAGAAAGATACCCCCCCCCCTCCGGGAGGGACTAATCCAGAACCTGTGTTTCTAGATGTTCTCCACAGTCTACTGAGACAGGGTACAGACAGATGCCTGGGATTGTGGAGCTGAGACCTGGCCAAGGACCTGAGTGACAGCTTCATGAACTTGAGACCCCTGGGTCACTCTAGGCTCCAGGTTTCACGGTCTGTAGAAAACTGAGAGTAGGGGGATACTCTCTGTGTAGCAAAGATATTTCATGGAAGCATAAAATTCCCATGACGATCTATTATACTTTCTTAAAAGGGGAAAACAAACACCAACAGGTTAATTTGTTCAAAGTCAAAGGGGTAGTAAGTGATAAACTGTGGTTTGAGGGCAAAGTGTAACCAGAGCTGTTGCCAGCATTAAGGACTAACCGCTACAGAACAGCTGCCTTGTTGAAGCTAGATCCGGGGACCGGGCAAACTAAAAGTTCTTCCTGCTCAGCCCTTCCAAGATTCTAAAGGTTTGGTCTACAAGGGCTAGCTCCAGGACAGGCTTCAAAGCTACAGAGAAACCCTGTCTTGAAAAAAACAAAACAACAACCAAGATTCTGAAGATTGACAACTCTCTGAAGGCTTGTAAAAGGGTTCACTTTTCACATTCAATTCAAAAGCTTCAAAAGCTTCCTCAAAGTAGAAGAGAGCAACCATAGAGACTGCTGTTAAACATCAGAGTGACTTCCTAATCTTCAATTGCTGGGGGTTGGGGGAGACCAAAGGACTGAAATTTAGCAAGGAAACTAGCAGCTGTTTC